TCTGTTTCTCTGGCAGGACTCCCTGGCTTCGCTCAGAATATGACTGACTTTGTTGCTTTCAACATTTTCTTCCATTTCGAAATATTTTACTCATTAGCAATCCTCCTTATGCTCAGAACAGGAGATAGCAATCAAGTTCTCCTCTTTCTAACTGCTAAACGCCTTGATGCTGGTGCTTGAGAAGCTGCCCTTTCCTCCATATTTTTCAACATTTTTGATGTTCTTGCTTTACCCACCCTTTCTAGCAAATCTCACCTGCCCTCAGACCTTTGGGTGCTGTTTTCTAGGCTGATGATTCATATATACAGCTTCCTGACAGTACGATAACTCTCCACCCTCAGTGCTGCCTCTATAGCACACATCTTCCCACCAGTTTTCACTTACCTGCTTCATTCAGCCCTTCCCACTCCACCTTCCTCCAAATTAATTTTTAACTTATTCTTCTCCTACACAAAGTCTGCCCATACCCCAAATCCTGATACTTCTTCATTCTCAATATTATCCAAAAGACAGGATTCATCTTGCATCTTTTGTTTGGCCTTCATTTATTCTACCTTGCTTCTAATTGAAGTATCTTTGAGGCTTTTTCACATGTACTATCATATTTTAGTCCCCTTTAGAGACAATTGCCAGAGCTGTTTCACTTTCATCTCCATTTGAACCTCTTAAAGTTCCTTCACCAAACCTCACTGCTCACTCCCCATCTGTAGTTCAACCAAACATACACGTCCAATTACTAAATTTAAGGCTTTCTAGTTCAAGTTTCTCCTTCTTCTCCTGCCTCCTGGAATCATTCTCCACCAGTTACTGGATAGGCAACCAGTGCAGTCCATTGTGCTTCGTGAGGTCCCCTAAAGTGAGAGGTCTCCATACTTAAGTTCTCCCAAAGGGCCTGCTTCTGTCATGCTCCAGTACATCAATTGATGTGGCCCATGTAAACTGTCCCTATTAGGCATTTCCTTAGCCCTGATGGTGTCTCCCATCTCATTGTCTTTTTTGCTAGCTGCTGCATCTAGTGATACAATGAACATCTGACCCCATAAACACGTTAATACCACCAGAACTTCTTGGCAGACATCACAGTGCTGATGCACTGCCCACCAAAATGAAGCCTGCAGAATACAGGGTTGCCTTATCAAACATACCACAAGCTGTAGAGAAAAGCAACCTCTTACCACAGTGAAAACTGAGCCTCCAAGAAAAACTACTCTGTGGACCGAAGACAGCAGAAGTTCTTTGGATGAGCACTAGATGCCAGCCCAAGGGAGACAGTCACCATGCAGCAAAAACATCACACTGTGTCAGCAGTTAACACTAACAAGCCAACCTTATTTTTCCTCTTCCAAGCAGTTTGCTAGAAGACACAGAAAAGATGTGGAAGAGGTGAATGTTGGAGTATTCGTGATGGTGACTGGATGTAACTGCGGCAACCAAACCACATGGCAGTCTAAGGACACACAGCAAAAAGTGAGTCAGGATCTGCCAATCACTTATGGCCTTTTCAGGCAAAAAAAGGCAAAGAAGCCCCCCACACCCCTGTCTCATGTGAGTGCTCTTGTAAAACAAACCACATAGACAAACAGGATTTGTAGGATCAGGCTGGACTCCTTCCAAAGCACATACTCAGTGCAGAAAGCTGCAAGAAAAAGAATAGGTACCGAGAGGAACATGATAGCTTACTACCCTGAGAAATCAGCAACAGGACTATTTGAGAGGGAAAAAAAAACCTGGCTGAGCTATTGAGGATAATTTATTAATATCATTTTCAGAGGATAATAAATAGACAAACCTATCTTACTGCAACTTAAATAAAACCAGAAACTGCAATCCACATGAAGCTATCAATGAGAAACAATGCACCACAGTATAACTCACATACTGACATCTAATTTTAAATATCAGGAAAAGTCCTCATTACTGACTAATCACTTCTGAAATGCAGTTCAAAAAAGAAAATAGCATTTTTGCTTTATTAGAATACAAAACAAATCTGCTTGAACTTCTGAGATAATTTTATTAAATAGGCAATGGAAAAAATGAGGAGCCTTCACATTTTATTTAAAAAAACACTTTTTTTTTTTTTTGCTTTTAGGCTGAGAGTTTGCTTTCTGCTTTTTAACAGCCAAGTTTCAACAGAGCAATAGCTTTTATAGACAATATCAAAGCCTCTGTAAACACAATGCTATCAAAGGAAGCAATAATAGACATTGTCTTATGGTTATGCAAACACTGTCATTTTGGGGGTGACACTAAAGCCCCCTGACAGCCAGGCAAAGACCTGAAAGGCATTTTAACCAGTGAACTGTTGTTGGATAAGCCCTCTCTTCTCCCCTGGCACAATAATCAGCATGCTGCCTTTCTCATCTCCCTTCTGAGTTTGACTCCTCATCTGGGAGCAGATTCATGTCCAAGCCCTCAGCAACAGCAGCGCTGCTGCTCCAAGACTTACCTCCCCACTGTCTCAGTGCACAGGGTAAATCCTCTCCCTACCCAGCTCCATGGGCCGGCTTTTTTCCAGTGCCCCACAGAGGCACCCCATTCCCCACTGCTGCTCTGATGGCTCTCATAGACACGTGGGCAAGTTGGTTATTTCAATACCCACCCTATCTCTGATGAGGAGAGGGCAATTAGATTGGTTTTACTGCAGGCAAAATCAATAGCAAGCATCTGGGGGGCAGATTAGCCATTGCTAATTAGAGCTTTTAGACATTATTCAAATAAAATGTATGAGGTTAATCAACCAAGGTGGAAAAAATCCATAATATTCTAAGTCTGCCCTTGGTTCATCAAACCTTCTCACTTTGGAATTAGAAATGGAACAAAATTCCTCAAGTAAAGGCAAGCTTTACTAGACTGGGATAGATATGGAGAAGGGTTGTATTATTTATTTTCAGGGAGGCAGGTATTTCTTTCTCAGATCAGAGGTATAACACCAGTTTCTAGACAGCTAACCCAATTTGCGAAGTATCTGGGGATCTATTTGAATAAACCTAACAAAACATAAAGCTGGATATTTTGAGCCTATTCTTCATGAGTTTAGTTTTTTTAAAAGACATGTTTAAAAAAGTGTAGAATTATGTCACAAACAAGCTATAATTCCACAGCAACATTTTATCAAATTAGCCATTTATTTATATTCATTTAAACAGTACCTTTAAGAATCTGCTTCTGTATTTTGATCACAATATTCAAAAATGCTTGAATACATACTTCACACATGAATTTCAGGCCATATAATGTATTACTTCAATATCTTCAGATTAGATTGCAATTAGATCGTATGTTCAAATATGAATAAGACATTTTCAGGGTACCTTCACCGAGTGCTCATCTATAGAACATTTTATTTAATAGGAATTTCCTCTGTACACTATTGGAATTCTTATTTCTGGAAAGGATTATTTCTCCATGTAATGAAATATTTTTTTCCCCAAATCGTATTCTTAAGGAGCAATTTAAAGTACAGCAGGAAGATAAGCGTGTCTTTTTTAATATGAACATGAGATGAATTTATCATCTATTGTACACTTGAAAAATGTCTTCCTGATTCTCAACAATAATCATAAGCTTATAAAGACAGAAAAGTTGTCCATTTTAGATATTTAAAAATAAATTTAATCTTCTAACAGAGTTATAGAAAGCACAAGTATGCACACACAGGTTAAAGAGGTTTTCTACTTCAGAGATAGAACAAGGATTTATCTGTTTAGTTGTGGTCAGGGGAAATACAAACCAACAAAACAAAACTCATAGCAGGACCCAGCTATCCAATTCTGAGATTGCACAATTGGCCCAAATTAGCAAAACAGCTCAAAGTAATTTTTCCTAGATTACCTGGATTCAAGCACATCCTAACAATATTTGAACTAAAGCATAGCTCATTTTTAAGTACAACTCCAACTGCTTAAGTGAATCAGGGCTTTGTTAGGGAAGAAGCAGAGGGAAAAGAGAGAGGCTGGAATCCCACTCAGGATGGTGTGGCTACTGGATATAGATCCAAGCCTAGGGGCTTACTTTCTGCCCTGTTCAGATTAGCAATACATATGTGAACGAACATACCTTAAATCTTGATATAAAACTGCAAATCCCAAACCCAGTTACCCTTGTGAATATTGGAAAAGGAAAGTGCTCCAGTAATATGAAGGAACCTTAAATGACCCCAAGCTAACACTGCTATGTATTGCCTAAGCGTGAAAAAGCGATCAGGCAGGCAACGAATTCCCTAATTCCCTACAATTCTTTGCAGTTTTGGGCAGGCAGAAGCGGATGCCTGCCAGCATGTGGGATGCCTGTCACTGTTAGCCTGAAAAATATACAGAAAACAGGCTTTGGTTAAACTGGAGGTGTTTTTTCAGATCAGCCTCCGAGATCACACCGAGGCGTGGAGCAGCCCCCTCTCTCACAGCCCTCTCCTGCATGGATACAACACTGTGCTGGCCGGGAGCATGTCACACCTATGCACAAACCACAAAAACCATGGAGGTAGCTGGAGGTTAGGGTAAGAAACACAGTTTCCCTGTCACGTACCACTACTAGTCCTCTAGGACATCCTCTGCATCTAGATAAACATAATTTTTTCAGTAGGATTTAATTTTTACACTATTTTTCCCAATCCCTTTACCTTTCATGCCATCTTTTTAGGGTTTTTTATTAGATTACAGCTCATTTTTCAGCTATTTGCAACTGTACTTTTTTTTAATGCCTTTTCTCCTTTACAAAGCAGCAAATACTTTTGAACCCACAAATGCAAATACCAATTTCAGATGGCTGAGCTCCTCTTTGGCATCTCACATGCATCTCATCTCGTAGGGATTTGGCACAGACTGGAGGAAATCTCATGCCAGAGCAGAGCAAGGCCATTAGCATTACACTAATATAAATGGCATCAGCAATGTAATTTTATTAAAAAATGCATTTCCATGAAACAGTAATATCTCCAGTAACGCACTTTCTGCATAATCCATTTTTGTTTCATGTCAGCCCCCTTCAATAGTGTAGTATAGTAACGTAGTATGATTATTAATGATTATTACTATATTTATGTCCTTTTCTTTGGCTGCATTATACCTAACAGCACAGCTCCTAGAGAATTTTATTTCAAAAGGCTGAAGTACTCAATTGTGTGACAATTCCCCAACCTCTCAAAGCTAAGTAGAACCAACATCTTTTTTGAACCCCCCTTGCCCAAGATTAATAAAACCATTGCCTTCTTTAAAAGCTGAATATGGATTCCATAACATTGTGATGCCACCTTAGGTAGAGCTCATGGTCTGGGGACATGGGAAACCAATGCTCCTGACACAGTATTTTTAACATCTGTTTGCAGAGATTTTTCACATTGTCAAAATGTTTCCTGATCCAAATAAGGATAGCATTAAAAATCTTGATAGGATATTCTGGATTGTGTTTGATTCAGACAAAAATGTAAATATGCCTAATTATGAAGAGTTGCACTGGTACTTGCTGTGCATTCAGTTGCAAAACCACACTTGTCACATCAGTTTAACAACTGTAACTACACTTTCTCTTCTTCCTTTACAAAAAAAAAAGAACAACCACCACCTCTCTATTACCTCTTTCATCCAAAAAGTTCCAGTTGACCAACAGGTACTTTCTGATGAAAATCATTATGCTAAATTGTATCAGTCATATTCTCTATAGATTTAATATCCATCTTTCCTGAGGGTTTACAATTATGCCAAGATAGTGCAGTAAAAATGAGACTGCTGAAAAATCCAACCCACATAAATTTACCATCCTCTCTTGTCTTTCCCTCTCACCTCTTGTGACCTTAGCTTCTTTAGACAGAAGCATCCCATGAAAACCTCATGTAAATTGGGCTGGGGAGATGGTCTGAAAGGGATTCTCTTAAGATGGCCCATATTTGGCTGTAGTCGGTGAAAGCTCTCAGGAAATACTGTGCAATAGATGAAGTATAACACTTTCAAACAAGGACCCTTCAATGGGGCTTATGTCTACCAAATGTTTAAAAGTTCAGACTCAATAGAAATACTGACTTTTATGCGATCATAATTTTTGTCATCCCACTAATCTGTGTCACAGGCTTTAAATTACTTCTTCCCTCTTCCCATTTGAAAAGCCACCTTACCACTACTCTCTTAACTGGCATCCCCTCTGCTCCACAGGTGCCAACCATATTTTCTCTCAGGAAGTTTATCTGATTAACATTTCCAGTTAATCCCAGAGCAATTCTTCTCAACCTAGATTTCACTTTGGTGTGTGCTTCTTCCCTGCTTTAGACCTGATTAGACTTGCGTGTGCCAGAGAACTGCTGCTTCCTCCCAAGAGGGCCAAGCTGTCCTGAGGAAAGGTCCCACCTCTTCAGCAAATCCTGCCTTTCTCCCATGCTGAACATCCACCACCATCTCGAGAGGTGGCTCAGGGGCAAAGGGTTAATATGTCCCCTAAGACCGACCATGTGAAATGGCCTTCTGCAGGGTCTAAGGTAGCATAGAGGCCTTCCCAGAGCTTAATTGCTCATTGGCTGATTACAATTGCACGAGGGCTGGCCACCACACCATTGCTAAACGGAGCTGAAAAAGCATGCTGCTTGGCTTGCCTTGGATCATGTAGTTCAGTCAGTTCCCATCATCCCTTTGTCCCTCATATGTCTGACATGTGGATGAAACCTTCCCTATTGTGCCTCCTCTTTTCTGGGAGAACAAAGAGGAGCTGACAATGAAGTGGCTGGCAGCCCATTGCCACAGTCCATATATCCACACAGCTGTCATTACACAGTCAAAGCAGCCGTGCTAGCAGGAGAGAATAAGCAGCCTATGTGAGAGACAACTGAGCTTGGCTAAAAAAGCTATATTATCAACTATGGTACACATCAATATGCTATTAAAGGAAGGGAAAAAAAAAATCTCCACATGCAACCCCATGACCTTGGGGAACTTTGGGAGCAAAGTGCACATAAAGAGCAGGCTTGGAGAGAGTCCAGTGCACGTCCTCTGCCTTCAACTGTTCTGAGCAGGTACCTAGCCCCTGCCCTAAAAATAAGTGAAGGCAATCGTGTCATTACATGTCCCAACACCCGGGTTTTCGTTGAGGAATGCATCGTTTTGCTAAGGTAGTCAGTTCTCCTCCTGTTGAGCGCTGACATGTCACATCAGTGGATTTCTTGTTTACAGAAGTGGCAGATTGTTAATGTGAAGGCAATTTCCTGCATTACAACAAAATCCCATGATATATTTCAGTTGTTGAAAACCTGGAATGAAACAACAACTCTGCGATATGGAAATGCCGCTGAGAGTTAAGTGGTAACTGGAACTAAAGTTTATGAAGTAACTAAGCAAAAAAGAGAAGGAAAACGAAAAAAAAAGGAAAAGGCAGCTCCCCCTATGAATTAAGGTTCCCTTCTGAACTATTCCTCACTCCCACTGCAGATGGTGAAGGGTATACAGGCCATGGGTTAAAGTAAAGAAGAATGGAAATCCAAGGGACAGCTGTTCGTGGTTTACCAGGATAGGGTGAAATTTCAGAGAAAGCTCTTCTTAAATTGTTCATACGGCCTTTCAACACACACAGGTTGTATGCCATAATGAGAAGAGTGGGGGAGAAATGGAGATAACAAATGGGACTGAGGTCACCTGGCAAAAAAGAAAATTCAAAAATCCCCAAACCAAAAGCAGTGTTCAGGCTGATCCTGAAGATTTCTGTGTCTGAACGAGCTTTGGCACTGGCACAGCAAGAAGTGGGGGAAGATAACGGGACCTTTCCAGAGCTCTTACTCCCTGGTGTGGACTACTGAGTCTGATCTTGCATCATGCTTCCAGCAGAGTATAGGGACAAAAAAGGTTAACAATACACATAAACTAGACACCCAGCTTGTCCAGTCCGCTGCTCTGTTCACACCCTGTCCTGTCCCCTACAAAGCAAGCTCTGTTCTCTGTGCCTTCAAGTGACTTCACAGAGAGGTCTCAAAGTCTCTTCCCAGTCTTGCCCTATGGGGGTCCTAGCTCCCTGGTCCCTGCACAGTCCTCTCCATGGCAAAGTTAAGGTCCTGGCTTTATCACAGTACATGATCATTCAGCTGTAACTGCTTTTTGACATCATTTGCTTCCCTGTATACTTTCTTGCTCAAGGAAGTCCTTTCAGGACAGTGATCACACTGCCAGGCAACTCCATTGCCCACCTGCTGATCTCAGTAGTCTTCAGCTGCCATGACCTTCCCTACCATTTCAAAGTATATGTCCCATGAGCTCTTGGAGATGTCTGCTTCTGCTTTTCAAGTGTGGCACCCTTCTTGTTGGTCACCTCAGGGAGGAGAGGGGGTGTCAAGCAGTGAGTGTGGACAGGAGTCAGGGAAGGCGCAGGCTCTTAGGAGGCATCACAATCTCCTTCTAACTCCAGTGGGAAGCAAGAAAAACAGAAGCTAGAATTTGGCAGAGGGAAGGTGGCCCTTGCACCCCGCATCTGAGAGAAGGAAGCTTTCATGACTCCCAGGGTAGCTCTAGGGGGTTACTGATTGTCCTCTGTAGCATTAAGCACAGCCCTTTTTCAGGGTTCTCCTTTGGGCTCTGTTCTTGCCTGCTGCTCTTGCACCTCCAGGGCACCACTCGTGCCCTAACACTCTCTGGCTCCATTGCCCAGTGCATGCTTGAAGAGGGAGAGAGCTCTGCTCTTCCCTTGGCTCCACTTCCCCAGGAGTTTTGGCTTGTGCTTGGAAGGTGTTGATGCTTGTGAGCATCAGCTCTGCAACAGAGTAAAAAAAGCAACCAATACAAAGCAAAACCCTGTAACATAAAATAACATATAAAATAAGATAAAATATAAGAAACCAAACCAAAACCAAATGGAATCATAAAATAAAATCATATTTCCACTTGTAAGCTATGTGATTTGTGTCCTTGGATGTGGTTTTGGAGTTGAAAATCCCTGGCATTGCAGGGGAATAACAGTGCCATTGTTATTCAGCCCAGGGTGAGCACAGGGAATGAAATGGAATAGAAGGGAGAGTCACAGAATGGAGCAGAACAGAATGGAAGGTACTACACTAGACTAGACTAGAAATGGAATGGATTATGCTGTGTGATGCCTACAAGTCTGCATAACAAGTGGTGCCCTAGGTCTAAGGGGTACACCCAGCAGAGCAGCTCTCTGCAGTGCAGGTCCCAGACCCACCCAGGACACAGGGACAGACTCAGCTACCACATGAGACTGAATGCCCCAGGTTGAGCTGTGCCCCCTGGGCCCTTGGCAGGAGGCGGTGGGGTGGGGGTCTCAGGGGAGGCACGGCCAGTGAGGCCTTTCAGCACCCCTAGTACCCTGGCAGAAGTAGATCTGCTCTGCTCATAGGCTCTCCATTAGACACCAAAGCTTGGCCTCTTTGGAGACCAAGTATTAGGCATATGGACCTTCTCTCTGATGCACGGGGCTAGAACTGGATGATCTCTAAGGTCCTTTCCAACCCAAACCAGTCAATGATTCTGTCCCCACTGCTTGTATCTTCAAGTACAAGTCTACCTGCTGCCCTCCCCTAACCGGGGTGAAAAAATTTCCTCCTTACATCTCCTACATTTCAAGCAGCTTTTCTACCACACACCTGTCTTACCTCTCTGCTTCTGCCGTAGCAAAAAGTGTGTTCTCCTCCTTGCTTCTAGCATCTCTTGCCATGATTTTGTTCTATTTCGGGTTTTTTTCCTAATTATTCTCTACTGACAATATTCATACTTCATCCAAAAATTATAAGTCAAAGTACATCATGGGAAATAATATTTTCTTGTGATAATCAAGCTACATCCTCTACAACGGAAAGCCCCTTTCCCTGTTTTCAGAAAAGGTTTTTCCAGGTTCTCAAAGCAGTTATAAAGTCACTCTCACACCCTCAAAAGGAGGATTCAGATTTGTCATCTCAGCTCATGCTTCAAGCCTACTTACCAGGTTAAGTCCATCTTTGGCTGTGAGCTTCATTTTCCACACTAGACCTTTTTCTTCCCCCTTTCTCCCCCAGGACCCTGCCACCCCATTATTTGTCCAGGGTGGTCCCCAGTTATATGACAGCTTTGTAGTTTCAGAAAATGCTTTATTTTTCTTATTCCAAGCTACTTAAGGTGCACTGAAATAGAAAACACTTTGTGTAAGAATGTCACGCTGCCCTCCTCCAACCTCAGCAAAACACATGAGCACTGAGGTGATTTTCTCACCAGCTCTCATCTCTTCCTACAGAGATTTGCTTGCAAAGCAAAGGCTGCTTCAGCAGGCTGGAACAGGGACTTCATAGGTTTTGTTTGAAGTGTGGAAAACTTGAAGTGTGAATTTTATTTTTTTTTTCTTTCTAACAGTTGTTCAATGTGGATTGGGGGTACAAGTACCTATTTGAGGTTGGAGGAAAGGCAGAATGAGTCATTTAGCAGCTTGGATTTCCACTGGGGTCAATGTGATGAAGACAAAGGCTTGAAACACAGGCCAGTTTTCAAGAGCATTTCATAGTCTACCAGACAAATGACACATTGGTTGGAGCCACGCCAATTTATACCAGCATCAACAATGATTCTCAGAAGTCTCTTTAGAAGACTATTATATATATATTAGGACAGAACTATTACAGTTTGCTGGCAATAGCACCACTTGTGCAATAATATCGTAATGCAATGCCTGCCTGTGTTTCTGCATGCAGCTGAGCCAGGCTAGTGGTTCACCACCACTGAGAGACTTCGCTCCACTTCTCCCCTTCCTCACATCAGCTGCAGCATTCATCGGAGACCTCTGCCAGCAGGTTCAGCTCACCAGCCTCGCTGAGGACCATCTCATCCTGGAGGACCATGAACTGAGACAGTTCACAGTGGTGCCTCAGGAGCACCAGAGCTGGTGCAAGGTCAGAGACGGGGGCATGCCACCAGAAGATGGAAGTGTAGTGGTGCTGGGAATTACCTACCCACATTATCCTGTCTCCTTACAACAAGCAGCACATCTGAGGGCTTTACTCTCTCTGTTAACCTGGAGGAGGGGCTAGTTTTCAGCCACATACTGTGGCAGATATGATTCGACCTTACCTGTAGTTTTCCCCAGAAGTGGAGTGAAGGGAGGAGGAGGGATGCATTAATGAAGAAGAAAGCGTTTGATAGCCTCTTACCATCTCCGACAGTAGACTTTGCTGCTACCTAGGTTTATTAGTTTTGAATTTGGGGTTGTTGCTGTTGTCATGTTTGGTTTTTATTTGTTAGAGCAACACATTAAAAGCACAGAGTTGTACAGATTCAGCAGAGGTCAAACAAACTGTTTGCATTTTTGCTATAAAAGGGTGAGGGAGAGGGAAACAGATGGTAAATTGGCTGCTAGGAAGCAGAGCTTGAACTTTTTCAATCATGTTTCCCTCTTAATTCACAGCTGGCGAAACTCGGTTCTGTAGCAGGTCTTTCACTGGGCAGATCAAATCCAGCAACACAGAAAACAAAACTCACCAGGAGACACACAAGGTGAGAAATTATTTCCTAATAGAACTACAAAGCCCAGAACAATAACTGGGCAACACTGACATGTATTGTTGGCCTTTATCACAATCTCTTTATAAGCCTGGTTAAAGAACAGAGATGCAGTTGTCCTTTGATGTCTTCGTTCAAATGACTTTACACCCGCTTCCACCAGTGATAAGCCAGGGAAGGGGAAGACGAGAGGCTGAAACACAGCAGAAAAGGCTTGGCAAATAAATACCTTGTTATACTTCTGTATTTCTGGAGACACTACTGTAAAAGATACAGCCACAGAAATCACAAGTCGGGTGCCACTCGAGCAAAGCAGCTTATGCTTGCAGCAGTCACTTCAGAGCTGAGAGCTTCTTGGAAACTGGCCGGCAGTTCACCAATGGGAGATGTAGAGGTGAACAACCTTGCTTGTGGGTGCCAGGATTAGCCTTGCTTAGAGGCTCCCTGGCACTAAGGAGTGCTTGTGCTACACCAGCACACAGCTGGGGCTTCCCAAATCCTCTGTGGTGGTTCCTCAGCTGCCATTGCCCAGCTGTTTTGGAGTGAGCTGTGGGAGAGGTCTCCTGTCCAGGAACACAGCACCATCACAGCACTAAACGCACTCCAGACATGGAGCAGGAGCAGCTTAAGGTCAACACCTGAGTTAACCTCTATTTTTTGTTCCACAGCGACAGCAAACTTCTGAACAAAAAGAACACAGCACTATCTCCACCAGGTTCACAGTGGGACACTGCTCCTTGCTGTGCTTTCATTTTGCTCTGTGCCCCTCCTATGAGGCAGTAATTTTTGGCAGAGGGGCTGGAGGATATAATGTTTGAAACAGTTAAATCTACCGGAGATCCTCTAGCAGAGCCCTAAATCCTATATTCAGAAGCAATGTTAACACTTAGCAGCCAAGGACCAGATCATCTTGAAAATCCTGCTCCACATCATGCACTGAAAAACACAGCAATCACAATACAACACACTGAAAATAATCCCCAATTTGGAGTTTGCTGCTGCTGCAGAATCAAGAGAAATTCCAGCTTGGCTCCTGCTCTTGTTCACACAACACTAGATCTACACAATAGGGCATTGAGCTAGGTTGAAATCATGGGGACTTTTTTAGGTAATAATCAAATTAACTGCCACAATCTGGAGTCCAATCACCAGTCTGATCGCAGGTATTGCCATTTTATTCCAGACACAAAGAGAACATACAACTTAGTAAAGGTCAGATGTGAAGTGTGTGCCAGACCTAAAAATTGAGCCATGTGTCCCAAGTCCTAACCTTTCAGAGTTAGCCCACTCTTTCTCAGGGAGGATGTTGGCCATGAAGACATGGTCACAGTGTGTGAAGATGTTTCACATTTATTATCACATCATGGTTGAAATCACATCTGATTTTGAAAACTGTTCACAAATAAGGTCAGGTTTCCCAACGACGTAGTCCAACCAAACAGATGTCACGGTTGCTTAAGTGTTTTCAGCATGTCTAGACACCACATGGTGATTAACACCAGCGGACCATGCTTCTGTACGTGCTAGGAAAAGCAGAGCCCAAGATGTGGTAGATGTAGAGTGGAAGGATTTTGGAGAATGCACATCAAGTCAGAGAAAGAATCAACAGCTTTCTCACGTCCTGCAGTAACTGTCTGAGACTCAGCAGCACCCATTAAGAAAACACTTAAGACTCAGATACACAATAACCACAACTCCTTCGTCAGGATCATTGTAAGGTGCTGCCAAAATACTATACTCCCTTGATTTCAAACATAACCCGGCAAATGGCAGAAAGACAATGCCCAAGAGTAGTTGCAGTGAACACTCCAGCTTCTTCAGGCTTTGGAGCACAATAGTTTGGTAATTGTGTTAAAGCCAAGAACAAGGGCTGTGAGCTAAAGCAGTAAAAGCATTATGGTTCTGAAACCACACGCAGGAAGAGGAAGCAGTGGATCCTGGAGGAGCTGACAGAGGCAAACAACAAGCTATCTAGTACTTCTGCCTCAGCGAGCCCTGCTGGGACCCTGCCAGGAACAGTATGGCTCTCCCTCACCCCTCAAAAGCCAGGTGCTTCGTGCCAGCACTGACAGATATGGCACTGGTTCTGCTTATCCCACGCTTTCCTGCTCAAAGCAGCATCCTGCTCTTGAAAGTCAGTCTCCCTCTTCAGTCAGCTGCGAGTCTCACATGGTCAGACATGCACTGCAGATAGTGTTAGCTTTATGATTAGAGCTGTCTGCTGCGAGACACATTTTAAAATTCATGACCTTTCCCATCAGGGTTCAAAACCGGACTGGCCTGAAGATGAAAGACTGGCTTAGACTACTGCC